TTACAGCAAAAATTCAATTGTTCACTGTCTGTTCATGTAGTGCGTTGACTAATGTTAACAGAAAACCCAGACAAGCTTGGGTTTTATTTTAGAAACAAGTTTTTTTTTTTCATTTAATGTAAGAAAGGAATTAGTTTCTGCCCCCTTTCTACCTGTACTTGATGTAGTTTATCAATTTAATATTTATTTCAGATTGTAAACCTTCAAGTCATCATTGTACTTTGTATAACAGAGTAGCTTGGCCTTCTCTGTTCATTAGAAGGAAAATGCATTTTTAACTACCTAAAAAAAGGGCTTTTTTGTATGCGTCTGACGGGAATTTACTCCAATCGAAACTGAAATTACAAACTTTGGTGTCTATGGATCATTTAAAATCGATTATCCGGTCACTCAGAGATGACTCAATGACGTGCAGTTGTCTTTTTAAGTCGTTTTTATTGTTATTCTGTTTTGTTAACCTGTGATTGCAACTGATAGATTGTTAATCTCAGAGAGATAATCCTGGTTAAATAAAGGTAAAATAATAAATGCTGTAGATGTATTGTTCATAATTCAGTTTTACTAGTGTAAATGAAACCTTATATTGTAAAGTGTTACCACTGCATGCATCCCATTGCATTATACAAATATACAGTATATGCTGTCATTTATGACATTTCCTCAGTGCTAATTTGTCTGAACCATTTTTGCCTTTTAATCAACCTGTATATAGACACAAAAGTGTCTATATTACAATAATGCACAGGTTCCTATCATCAGTCCTTCAGATGTCTGAACTGAAATCCGTCTATATTTGCCCCACACCTCCGTCTGTGAGGCACAATTCAATTAAAAATGTGCTGTGCTATGACTGGAGCAGGATCCAGACCGACTAGCGTTTCGCTGCATCAGAGAATTGTGGAGCTGTGTAAATCTCGGGCACGGCTAGCGTCTGCGTTTCACTGGCTCGGCCCTCCTGCTGACAAACACATTTCTGAAGCCTCAACCCCTGAAAAGCCCAAAAGAGTCCTTAAAGGTGCGGATCTGTCATTAGCACATTTAGCTTGGCGCAAAAGCACATTGTTATTTTTAAGAGCCAGCTGTATCTTTGGAGCGTGTGTGGATTCCCGTGGCTTTGCTCCGGTTCGGGCCCGGTGTGTGTCCGCTTTCCCTGCCTTCGCATGTTTAATCGGCTCGCCGCATGGAAGTGATCTCATTATTTACTTACAGTAATATGTTGTGGTCACTGAAGCTAAATTGAAATGCACGGATATACTGAAGTAGGAGGGAAATGTTCACAAACATCTGGATCAGACTAAACCAGTTCAGACTTCACTTCTAGCAGGGTGACGCATGTTAACAAACAGTCTCTGATCTGCCGAAACTAGTTAGTCTGTCGTAAATCACAGATAACGACGGAGTGCCTGGAAGAACCTCTGACCTCAACACAACCCTCACACACAGATCACACACACAGAGTAAAACCAAAGAAAAAGGTGCAGCTGCAACTTTTGTTTGTTTTGCGTTATATCTCACAATGTGACTATGCATCACAATTACAACTATTTCTTGCCATGTGACTTTACTGTACATCCCATAAATCTGACTTTCAATTTCTCACAATTACAACTATTCCTCTCAATTTGACTTCTTATCTCTTTAATTTTTTTTTTTTTTTTTTAAGTATTTCATGTAATGAGAAATGATATCCCAGAATACATTTCATGTCTATTGTGTCTATTTCTTTAAATTAATATATCACAGTGCGGCTTTATATCTCACAATTACGACTATTTCTAGCAATGTGATTTTACAGTATATCTCACCGTTTTTGCTATTTCTTAAATATCTATATCTCACAATTACAATTTTATTTCTGTAAACAACGTACGGAGCCCCTAAAGGGACATGGTAAAGAAGAAAAAATATGAGATGGGAGGGAAATTTATATTTGGCAATAATAAATGTTTGTGTTCCCCAGAGAAACTTTGAAACTTTTCACTCACAAAGTACACAAAAGGTTTTGCAAAGTTACTCGGTGGAACGTAAAGCATTTGCGAGAGAACACAAAAGCATTGACTTATTATTTTTCCTTAAATATGATATTTTTGAAGAACATTCTTGCTGTGCTTTTCAACATAATGCACTTGAATGAGGACTAGGACAGTCAAGCTACAAAATGACAATAAAGCATTATTAAACTGGTCCAAATGCTCTTCTTCCAAGTTTGATACTGGAAACTGGAAATGTTGGTATGTTCCTCCAACACAATCTCATAGCAATTCAGAACTATTTTACATTTTGGCAAATTGCCAGCCAACTCGTATGAATTCATATATGATCTGCTGACGTCCCAGTGACGGCTAGTTTAGGGGTGGACTTTTATGAGTAGGCCTATTGTTTTCTAAAAATCTCACATTTGTATAGGATTTTAGAGAATTTGAGGAAGACAGAAGAAGTGAAAGACAGAAGAGAATGGGTTAAAAATGCTAATTTTTGCTAAATGCTAAATAAATGCGAATTTATTTCTCACATTGTGACTTTATTTCACTTAGGCTCCAGTACATGAGAGAACGCACAAGCATGTTTGCCCGAGGCTTTCAGAAGGTTCTTCTAGTCTTCTGATCTTGGGGTCAAGATGGCAGCGACAGGAAGGTCTTTTGGATTTCTACATTCTTGCAGAAATACTAGATAAAGTCACGTTTCCCAAACTAGTGCATGACTTCACATACAGCATAAGCCAGTTTAATTAGCTTTGGTACGTTTCTGTGCCAAAAAACAAAACTTCTGAATAGCACGGAGAGAAAGCGAATGCTCCTTAAACACCTCCAAGACAAAGTAAGAAATGGCAAACATGATTTGCCAGTTTACCTACAATGTTTGCCCAAAGTCTTCACACCATCACTCCAGGAAAAGATGAGAAGTTTCCCAAGGCCTTTTGTAGGATGCTTAGCCCTGTTCATGGTCATTGCTTTAACGTAACAGAGGCGTTACAATGTAATACAGGCTGACTGATACAACAGTGGAAATAAAAACACCAACAAAATAAGACAAAACAGATTCAATTAACATATAGGGGCGATTTCATAAAACATGCACAGCTTTTTCCATCTGTTGCTAAAACATTTTAGTTTTGACAGGATGTGGTGTAGGTGTATTGCATGTGAAATCACTCTCAGCGCTATTTGTGACTCAGAAGTGAGTTCTGCTAAACAGGTGGTATAAGTTAATCACAACGCAAGTTGCACTCCAATAACATTTTATTACTTGAACACCTTTATAAACCAGTGGTTAGTGAAACTTGTAAAGGCGTAGTTAGTGTTATTGTGCAAATGTGGTAGCACTTATCTAATTGGCTGTAACGTTATCGTAACAGGAGTTGAATGCAATTCAAGCTCACAAGCAGTAGTGAAAAGATCGGTTGATAAAAGTATGCAAAGTTGAAAAGCTGTCATTCACTCCTGCATTGGCTTATGTGCGCATTACAATAAATAAACCGAGCTTCTCCTTCCTATTAGCAGCGTGCTGTTAACAGAAGAGGGAACGTGCTATTGACGAAGGTCCTAAAAGTTCTGTTATGTTTATGCTTGAACTGAATCATTTAAATAAGCACATCCAGTGAAAATAAACGCTGCGTGTCGGAGCGAGGAGGAATCAAAACGCTCACAGTTCACTCTCTGAGCCTTAATTAAACTGCGGGGCAGATAGGATTTCTGACTGGTTGTGCATCGCAAGAGCTTGACATAACGCAAACAAACAGCCTTTTCTCCCTTTGAGAGAATGAGAGATCTTCAGGCATCTACAAAACACTCGTCAATTGCTTTTAAAAGCCTTTATTGTTCGATTTTTTTTTTTTTTTTCTAACTCATGCAACCTAAAGTTTACACAAAAACGGATGCTGAACCCCTTTCAGAAGTTGCCTTCAGTAAATCCATCCGTTTTAACCAATTAGAAACGAGTTTCCGGGGTGAAATCACTATGAGCACCACCATATATGTATAAATAATTGATAAGAAAATAAAAAATACAGTATAAAGCACATTTACTTCATTTGTTAAAATGTGTTTCATGAATTTGTATATTTATTTATTGTTTTAGGATGAAATGAGGATTCAAAAATTTGATTATCACAATAAATTCATAAATAAAATGCAAATTAATTACAATTTAGTGTAACAAAAGTCAGGTAGGTTGACAGTATGCACTTGACAGTAATTAGGGATAGTCTGTAGATTTCAATAGTATTTTATTTTGTAGCATACAAATATGAGGGCATTCTAAATAAATAAATAAATAATAAATAAAGGACGTCTAAACAAAATGTGTTACAAAGCTCCTCGGTCTCCCCCGTATAAATGCTGTGTGACAGTAAATGCAGAGACGTTTGCCGTTTATAATCAATAATTCACTGGCAGTATTTGCATTATTACACACAGAGTCTAAACAGCACTAATGGACTGTAGTGAACCGAGCACAGGACTCTGTCTCCCCCTATCGGTCAGTTTCAGAGCATCACTTCTGAGAGTCACTGCATGACTTGAATAGATGCAACAATATTTGCAACCCCGTTGAAAAGAAGGAATTAGAGCGAGTGGAAAGCTTTATCTTTGCTGAGTCACTGACTGAATAACACACTTCCTAGAGCCGATATTTCCTAAATCAGTCACTAAATAAAGGAATAAAAGCCAGTGGTTTGAATATTAAGCTCGTGGGATTGTTTGCATTCGCTTGACATCTTTCGTGGTATATGTACTGGTTTGTACAGCCCAAAGAATAAAACGTTTCAGGCCGCGCAATCGAGCGTTGGCGCGCGTTTCCACAATTATAGCCTACAGCAGTTTTCAACATGCACTTATTATGAAAACAGCACTTTTTGAAACTAACTTAAAGCAGATTTCTCAAATGAAAATGCTAAATTGTGAGTGATAATTATTGAGAGAGAGAGAGAGAGAGAGAGGGGTGGGCAAGAGGAGGCATCGTTTTCCTTTTCGTCACAGCGCGTGCTGTTTAAAAGCCCGTGCGCGCTCAGCTGACAAACCAAAGTTCGTCCCTCTCTTGGAAATACTACACGGGAGCGCACAGGGAGCGCTTTGCTTTTGCAGAAACACTCCAGTGCTTGCCACCTGAAAGCGAGCACACATTGGATTTGCAGGAATTCAAAGTTGGAAAGTATTTTTTGGAGGCGAAACTTGCAACCCCAATTCTCTGAGATCGTCCACCTACAGTGTTCGCATGAATCTACTAGACCCCTACCTGAAAATGACAGATGAGCAAGAGAAGTGTTTGTCTGATGCCCCCAGTCCGAGCATGTCCGAGGACTCCGCGGGCTCCCCGTGCCCGTCCGCCTCGGGGTCCGACACGGAGAACACGCGCCCCGCGGAGAACAGCCTCATGGCTCCGGACGGGACGCTCGGAGACTTCAAGAAGGACGAAGACGACAAGTTCCCGGTGTGCATCCGAGAGGCGGTGTCTCAGGTGCTGAAGGGCTACGACTGGACGCTCGTGCCCATGCCGGTGAGAGTGAACGGCTCGAGCAAAAACAAGCCGCACGTGAAGAGACCGATGAACGCGTTTATGGTGTGGGCGCAGGCGGCGCGCAGGAAGCTCGCGGATCAATACCCGCACCTCCACAACGCAGAGCTCAGCAAAACTCTGGGAAAACTCTGGAGGTAAATACATCAACCATGCATTGCTCGTTTAAAAATAAAATGCAATTAGATAGGCTACTTGTTTAACGGCATCATTGCATGCGGGCTTAGCAATATTTGCATGCAACATTATTTTTTGTGGATGTATCGGTGTGTTCATGTTGTTCTGCTCTGGGTAGATTACTGAACGAGGGTGAAAAGCGTCCCTTCGTGGAAGAGGCTGAGCGCCTCAGGGTTCAGCACAAGAAAGATCACCCCGACTACAAGTACCAGCCTCGGCGGAGGAAGTCTGTGAAGAACGGCCAGAGCGAGTCCGAGGACGGCAGCGAGCAGACGCACATCTCGCCCAACGCGATCTTTAAAGCGCTCCAGCAAGCAGACTCGCCCGCGTCCAGCATGGGAGAAGTGCACTCGCCCAGCGAACACTCAGGTGGGCATATTCAACTTTACGTGATCAAATCGATTCCTGGCTGAGTGTTTTTGTTTTGTTTTTTGCTGTTGCGTCATCTGTAGTGCTGGGTAGTAGATTACGTAATCTGATTCCAATAATGGAATACTTTTAAAACTTTTTAGTTACTTTTTATTGATTACGTGATTAGAAATTATTCACCAATCAAAATTCATTGATTCTCATTGTAAAAACAAAGGTTGCTGCCTTAATGTTTTTTTTTAAGTACAATCAACTTTACTTCAACTTAAATTGCATTAAACTGACATAAAAAAAAGTTAAACTTGTAAAAAAGTTGAAAATTGAGTTAAACCAATGTAAAAACATAACTTGTTGATCACATCATTTTTTACAGTGATTATTATGCCTTTGAAAGGCTTCGTCTTTCATATTCACACCCTTTTGTATTAATGTAATGCTGGGATTCCCAAAATGTGTAATGGAATAAGTTTTCATTCTTGTATTTTTATATCAATATGGTATGAGATTATCTTACACCAAAAGTAGTTTGATTACGTTACCTGAAACGTGTAACTTAATCCAACATTTTTTTTATCGTGCAGTTTGTATTCAGTAAGTAATCTACCCAGCCCTGGTCATCTGTGCAGTGCTTAACCTTCTTCTCTCCCCTCCTCCTCCTCCGTTTCCAAACAGGCCAGTCCCAAGGGCCGCCCACTCCTCCCACCACCCCGAAAACTGACGCTCAGCCAGGCAAAGCGGATCTGAAGCGGGAAACCCGTCCGCTTCAGGAAAGCACGGGACGTCCGCTCAACATCGACTTCCGCGACGTGGACATCGGCGAGCTCAGCAGCGACGTCATCGAAACGTTCGACGTCAACGAGTTCGACCAGTACCTGCCGCCGAACGGGCACGCCTACGCGGGCGGCTACGGGACCTGGATGGGGAAGAACGCCAGCGCTCAAAGCAGCACGCTCACCCCGCTCGGCGCCGGGGAACCGGACCAGCCGAGAACGACGCACATCAAGACCGAACAGCTCAGTCCCAGCCACTACAACGAACAGCAACAGGGTTCACCACAACACGTCAGCTACGGCTCCTTCAACGTCCAGCATCTACAACACTACAGCACTTCATTCCCGTCAATCACCCGCGCGCAGTACGACTACTCCGACCACCAGGGCGGCGCCACCTCCTACTACAGCCACGCCGGCGGGCAGAGCTCCGGCTTGTACTCCACCTTCAGCTACATGAGCTCCAGCCAGAGGCCCATGTACACACCCATCGCTGACTCTACAGGGGTTCCCAACATCCCCCAGTCCAACCACAGTCCTCCTCAGCACTGGGACCAGCAGCAGCAGCAGCAGCCGGTCTACACACAGCTGTCGAGACCCTGAGGACGAGCAGAGACTCATTACACATCATTCCACTCTCTTTAGACACACACTTGAAGTGTACACTCACACA